GGGTTGTTTGCTGCATCTGTGCAGGGCTCCCAGGCAGGTACGTCGGCAGTACTGCTTTTGCAAAGGCCGATGGCCTGCTTCCCAATGTATCGGCCGTGCTTTGCCTGTATGTGCCCAGGCGCAACTCTCAAGGCCTGGGCCAACTGTATGACGCGGCTTAGTGAGGCTCACGCATCTACCCAACCAACTGGTGTGCTGCAAGAGCCTGAATACCCACATATGAAAATGTCGAATTTTGGCCTCTGACGAATATTCAGGCCCGCCTTCACTTAGGGCGGGCACTCGGCTTGCTGGGGGCCTTAGCCCAGAAAATGTGATGTCTGATAGGGCCCCTTGAGGGCTTGTTCCACACACTGTCTTCATTGTGTTTATAATACTTCACAGTGTTCAGCAGCAACTTCGACACAGAAAAAAGGAGAAGAAAAAACCCTTTTGCCTCAACATCTGGACAGGGATCTGAACAGACTTTCCATACGCCATCCAGATGCACCAGACAGGTTGACAAAACCCAGGCATGTGGATTCTTCCGGCTGTGTGTATGGTGGGAATGTGGACATCCAAACTGCCGCTTTTGCAGATGCATAGTATGATAGTACTGAAATGACGACCAACTTTGGTCATAAAGGTCCCAAGTGTGAGTATGCCCTGATACATCCAATCTTCCAAGCTCAGTGGAGCCATACCTGGGAAGAAGACTGAGAGGGTCTCTTTGTAATTATTAAAAGCCAGATACTCCTGTATCAGCTCGTTGATCACAAGATTCTCATTGGAAAGCTCCAGACGCTGACGTCTAAGTTCATCCTGCCACAATATTAAAATCAGTGGTGCCAGGGTTATGGACAAAGTTCAAGCAGCAAACTCTATTCTCTGCTAGAGATTTGGGACAATCTCAAAGTGACCTCAGTTTATGGACAAAGTTCATCCTGCCACAGTATTAAAACCAGTGGTGCCAGGATTATGGGCAAAGTTCAGGCAGTGAACTCTATTCTCTGAAATTTGGGACAATCCGAAAGTGCCCTCAGATTCTCAGATGGCAGCACAGTTGTAGCCACTGCAACCAGGCATGGTGGAATTTGAATATGGTGGGGAAACTTATTTGGCATCACTGCACAATGAATTTCACAAAATCGAAACCTGGGAAAGGACTACAAATAAATTTAACAAGACGCTGTAAAAGGGAAAAGTAAAGTTCGGTGCTTTTTATCCCAGTGAATTCAACCAATGTCACATTGCACATTTGTGTGCAGTTCCACTCCCTTACAAACCAGTACCCAACAAAATATGTCATCTCTTTTCAAGGTACCAGCACAACAGATGAACTACTCTCTCTCTCTCTCTCTCTCTCTCTCTCTCTCTCTCTCTCTCTCTCTCTCTCTCTCTGTGCAATAACCCATGCCATATGTCTCGTGGAAATCTGAGGGCCAACCTGGCCGCCCTCAGCCAGGCCTAAAACGAGGTAAGGGACCCCACACAGGGATTCAGGGCCTGGACGTGCCACAGTTGACTTCTCTCAACTGTCGCGAACCCAACAGTCAAAGTCCAAAGGTACCCAGTCCAGGCCGCCGGTCAAGCACACACACTTTGTATGCAGGTACCCAGACAGCATCAAGTCCAAGGGGGAATGCTGCAACTGTACAATCCAGGCCTTCGGCTGTGACTCAATCTGGACGACTGAGGGGAGGAGACCCGAGGCCAGAGATCCTCGTCAAACACTACTTAAAGTCTGGCCTCGAGGTGGTCAACATTCAGTCTTGCTATGCTGATTCAACGCTGGCTTGACTTTGACTTGACGCTGGCATTATGCTAGCGCGACGCTGGCTGGACGCTGGCTGTGCATCAGAGCTGCGGACATCGACACGAGGGAGAGGCGACGCTGGCATTGTCCGCCAGGCATGCTGATGTGGCGCTGCCTCTGGTATATGTGGCGCTGCCCAAGGTCTACGTGGCATGCTGATGTGGCGCTGCCTCTGGTATATGTGGCGCTNGCTGATGTGGCGCTGCCTCTGGTATATGTGGCGCTGCCCAAGGTCTACGTGGCATGCTGATGTGGCGCTGCCTCTGGTATATGTGGCGCTGCCCATGGTCTACGTGGCATGCTGATGTGGCGCTGCCTCTGGTATATGTGGCGCTGCCCATGGTCTACGTGGCATGCTGATGTGGCACTGCCTCTGGTATATGTGGCGCTGCCCATGGTCTACGTGGTATGATGATGTGGCGCTGCTTCTGTATATGTGGCGCTGTTCTTGGTCTTCATTGATGATGTGGCATATGCCACCTGTCTCGTCTGTTGATGTGGCATTGTCCACACTACTTACATGAGGTGACTGGTTGCGAGGGAGAGTAAGATCAGGACTGTGGAGAGATCGTGATACGTACCTGGTGGTCTTCATGATGACATTGCTCCAGCGCTGACGAGGGACTAATTAGAAGTGCCACGTGGCACATTGAAATTACTTCAGATACTCGTTCAGACCGTTGATTACTAAAGTGGCGTTGGAGGAGGGAGCCCGAAGCAGGAGTGGGCATTGTATTTACTTCCTCTCCTTTGTCTAATCTCCCTCCTCTCTCCTTCGTCTGTGAATGATTATCTCGTCTTATTCTGTCTAGACACTATCTTGATTAGTGGTAATCATCAGCTGTTGCATCTGGACTTGCATTGTTGACATCTGTCTTCACGATCTGGGTTCATTACAATTTGGTATCGGAGCATCTCTTCATCGCGATCTGCTATCTGCTGTCAGGTTCTGACGTGGCACCCAGGTAAGTGGGAGGTGCCGCATGTGCAGTATGAAACGCGTTTATTAACGCGCGCGGTCATACCGCAAGTCTAGACATGGTAGTAGTGCACTTGCGAGCAACCGTCCCTTGAAGATGATGAAAAGGCTATGAAGCGTGAAGAGTTGCGTTGGCAACAGGCTGATGTGGCATTGGTACCGCTGATGTGGTACATTGTTATGCGGTATTTTGGCAGGATATGGTCTGATGTGGCATGTACCTGTGCCGTGATTACCTGCTGATTGGGCATTGACGTGGTATGCCAGTGTATGCGTGTGACAGGCACACATTGATGACGTGGCATCCCCCTTGTATACCTCCGGTTTCTTGATGTGCTGACGTGCCAGACTCCAACGAGCTGCTGTGTTGGCATGCCAGGGGTGACACGTGGCATGTGTTGGGTGAGTTGTCGAGTGTGTTGGTCGCTGCAGACAGTACAGCTATAGAGAGGAGAGGCTGACAATTGTTTACTTACCTATTGGTTGTTCTGTGGTGTCCGCGCATACTCACCTGTGTGCTGATGTCTTGATCACACTGGTCGTGGCTGCGGTACCTGTACACATACGGTAGAACGTCATCACACATAGATTAGGAAAAACAGACAACTAGAAAATTGATAATATCTGTTTCTTTGTATTTGCCTTCAACAATTCTTGTTGTAAGTGTAGCATGCGTCGTGGAATTTATTTTTGTCTTTAATTTTATTTATTGTGGGGCATTTGCATGCTTGGCGGAATGAACTCTCTTTGAAAGTGTTTGCGTGCCTCTATCTTGACCCGGTTCATACCGCTCTTCTTCTTTCCCATCCCTCTCACAGTCTTTGCCGATGAAGAGGGAGTGGAACTGAAAACTCGCGGTCAGATTGATGAAAGGAGACAAACTTTGTTGGGTCTCCTCCGCCAGCTGCTCGGTGAAATACATGGTGCCGGTCCGGAGGCTGAACAGCATGTTCACGGACAGGTCA